CGGGGTAATGAATTGTCTGAAAGAGGAGAATTGGCGGAATGCTGGGTTACCTCTCGGATGAAATGTAGGACAGCTTGTGTACCAATATGTCCAGAACTACTCTCAGTCAAACATTTTTGGCAGCAATTCGCATCGTTAGACCTTATGTATTTTCCTGGCAACCTTAGACTGCGACAATCGTTGCACAAAATTTGGAGGAAATCATGTTGTATGAAACACCCAAGATGATAAGAATCGGCAGGTAGTCCAACACACTGGATATTATATCTAGCATCACAATCAAAACGCTTAAGGGTATTTATTACCATGTGTCCGGCAATTTTCGAACAGAAACCACAAGGTGATTTCTTCGGCATTTCAAAAAATGGCGTAAAAGTCACATGCAATGGTAAGGCAGAGTTTGCAAAACGGAACTTCGAAATCATGCATTACTGTACACAGCAGAGAACTGTATTGGAGTCCACGACGAAGTTGAACAGAAGTGCGGTAATTGGCCAACCCTGACGAACGCCACTTGTTGTCAGAGGGATGTCCGACAAGTCACCGTAGACCCTGATGCGACCTGTCGTATTCGAGTACAGCACACGTAAAACGTTTACCTATTTCATTGGGAACACTTTTACGCTCAAGTATCTCGAACAGAATATACTAATCGGTTGAGTTGAACGCACTCTTGAAGTCGAGGAACACGACTATTGTCTGTACGCAATACGTGTGGCTCTGCTCTAGCACCTGTCGCAAATTGAATATATGGCGGAAATATGCTTGATCTTCCCTAATCCGGAAATCCCGTTCCACAGTGGGGCGAGGAACGGTAATTAAGGCTGGTACTTTTGTCGCCACTGGCGTTAGGCTAGTACCTCTGCGCTTAGCACAGTGGGGGCGGTTGTCCTTCTTGTATATTGCCACAATAATCGATTCACCCCAGTTAGCCGGGATACTCTTCCTTCCAGATATGTTCGAATAGGGAGGTCACTTCTTTGCAGTGGACCTCACCACCATCCTTAAATAGTGCGTGTGAGAGAAATGCCGAGCCAGCAGCGCGAAAAGGGGCTAGAGGCTGCGATCGCGTTTCTGACCTCAGCCTGTGGTGGGGCATCTATACTAACTGTCCATGGCACAGCGTGCATCAACTGAGTAGGAAGGGGTCTAGGGGCAGTGGGCCAACTGCATGTGCTCCGCTGAGCGAGCCATACGCCGCTTCTTATTGTGAACCAGGGCGCCTGCGCTGTCTTCCGTTGTCTCACTGGCACTTGGTTTCCTGCGACCAGCGGTGCGGATCAATTAGATGAGCTTACTTTTACAGAGTCGAATTTGGCAGTGCTCTACATTTTCCTCATTCAAGGAATTATTGACACGTGCGCTCTCGTCGACTCTTCCTAAAAAGCCATTATTTTACTCACTTGCTGTTATTTTCTGCTCTCAGTACCGTGATAACCTATACCCATGATGTTTTGAAGTCGTGTTTCCGCGTAAGTCAACAACGATAATCGCTCTATCAGGAATGAACTAAGAAAAATCTACAAAAAAACGGAATAAGGCTATGAATAAGCATCCTGCGAGGTGGAGAGTTGCTCTGAGTAAGAAAAGCGTGACAAGCAGGAGCATACCTACATTTCTAATTGCTAATGCCCGTTCGCTCCCGGAAAAATATGGTGGGCCTTTAAAGCATGAACTCTCGTGAATACGCACAGCTAAGAATCGTAATGCTGCAGGAGTCATGGCTCCATAGAGATATTAGAGACGCCGCCGTTGCAATTGACCGTTTTATTTGTTTTCGTGCATCTACCGGAATCTTGGCGGGTGTCATAACTTCCATTAACGCTTTTTGTTGCTTGTCAATGAAAAGCCTCTTCTGCTACTCATCACAATGTATCTACTGCTTGGTCCTAAAGGGTAAGCCTAAACATCTAAATGAGTACCCCTTCATGTTACTCGTAATATCTATATGGCCTCCTCTTGTCCCAACTCATAAGCAGACAACTTTTACGATAATTTTAAGGTCACTGTTATTGCGAAAATTTACCAGTCCCTGTGTCTATTTGCAAGTGGTTTCAATAAAGATGACACCACATTCCTCTTAGGCTACAGCATATTGTAACATATCCCACCAAATTAGCGGCAACCCTGTATTCAGTATTTGTCAATAATCTAACCATATTTTCGGTCTGCAATGGGGCACGACTTGGCAGTTCAGATCATTCTGTAGTCAAGTTAACCCCGTTCTCTACAGTTAGACAAATCACAAAAATGCTACCTGATATGATGGAAATGGAGGCAATCCCTCCTTTCAAATTTATCGCCGCCGAGAGAGATGGCTACTTCCACAGACTTCAGCTTCTTTATCAACACATGTATCAACATGCTGTGACCCAGTGGCAAATTGTCTGAATTTCTGTTCTGATCTCTGCTGCCCTATAAAAACCATCTTCATCCATGCTGATCGCTTTTCTTCACCCCATCTCAAGCAGTTTCGTAGGCTCAAGGAAAGATCTTTCAAGATCGTGCTTTAGTGAATTCCCTTTGTGCCCGTGTTGAGGAAGCAGTGCACTTCAATTATATCTGTGTCCATACCATTTGGGAAACAGTAGTTGTCGTGATGTTTGGCAAATGATGAAAAACGCAGGAGAGTCACCTCTCAGAGCACAAATTTGGATGTGGACATAGAAGAATTAACAACTCGCAATTTCCGCTGCATTACCAGTGACTCATTCTCTGACTCATCAGCTGCGCCGCTTCAGTGGCGTATGAACTCGTTGCCTCCTGTCGACGTTTCTTCACTGCACAAGGAGCCAACCCAGTTACACTCAGGCAAAGCACGCAGACCTGATGGGTTGTCGCCCATCGTCCTCAAGCAGTGTGCCGACTACTTAGCCCAGTCTCTGGCTGGGTGGTGGTTTAACGAACGAGGCATCTCTTTGCATTTCTAAAGTTCAGGTATTGTCTGCTGGTCTTTATCGGCTCTGGCTAAAACCGAATCCTGTTCGCTTAAATCTTGAGGTCAGAAGAAAACAGCATCAGACAACTACATCAAAACTAGTCCTAAAAATGCAGGTGAATACATGGGTTTGTCAATTGCTCTAAACATTTTTTCAGTTGATTACATCCAAATCGCTTCCAAATTTGGAGGTGTTCCGGTGTTGCTCCTCCCAACTGACACCCCACGACTGGTTTCGTCCTCTAAGATCCGTGTGCAACGCTTGGTACTGCGGTAAGCAATTCAAAGTTGTATTTGGAGTACCCACCATGTGTTTGGATTGCGACACGCAATCTCTTCTGAGACTTCGGTTCACTTTAAAGTAGACCTCGGTCATTCCGATCACAAAGACCGCTTCTAGATTTCTTAAGGAAATCATTTTCCTCCATAGGTCTCTCAAAATGTCCCTCAACGCTATCAAACTGCATCTAACGGTTCGAGCTCCCCTAAATGCTACTGACATTGGCTGACCAATTCTAAGTCAGCCAGTGGCATCCCACTCGGTGTACTCGTCTGTTATATTATCGGCTGATGTTGGACTGCTGCTTCAACGAGCAGCATGCATTTTTTTAAGAGCGTTTGCGCCCGTCGGATGCAATTTGATAGCGGTGAGCACCATCTTGAGGTCTGTGGCGGAACATGATTTTCTTAAGGAGAAATCTGAAATCTCTATAAGTGCAATTGGCTGAGGAAAGATATAGACTTCCGGAAATTCTGAAAGCGATCTGCGCCATCCTCTTTAACCAGTTAGGTTTAGCTTGAACTGACTCATTGTCTCTCTGGATGCACATGCACGAAAGCCAGCCGAAACGATTTGCCGGACCAAGATCCGTCCGCCATGACTTTATTTTTGGATCTGATGCTTCTCGATATCCTACTTTGCTTGCGCTCTAGCCTGTTACGCATACTAAGAGAAAATTACACATTGATTAAGTGATAAAATTACAGCGCCTTTCCCGGGCTTCTTCTGCTTCATGGTGATGCCCACCTTTCACGATCCAGTGGGAAGTCATTCGTTTCAGTGAAGCCATGTGATTTAAACCCAGGTAGAGTTTTCATAAATCGAAAATGCCATGGATCAAATATCTTCCTGCCCGCGCCATCATTGTAACAGCTTTCATATCTTAAAAGCGAATGATTTATTTCCATGATTTCTTCGCCTACCTTCTCTCCGCATGCATCCCGTTGACTCGGTCCATGTGTTTCACTGCATTTAAGTCATACTCTGCGATTCTAATCGCTTTAATGTCTTGTTTTCTGATCATTGTGGGCCACGTGGCTCATGTACCCTCCTTTTCATTTGTGCATATGAAAGAAGCTCGGTTTTTCCACACATTCAACACGCAGTCACCGACGTACACCTCGATTCGCCACACGAAACTTGTAATTTGTGACCTGACAGACGTAAGACGAAAGTTGCTCCATTGTGAAACTTTCTACATGAATACCCTTCGTTTTCTTCGTCTAACACCTCTTCTAATGGCCCTGTCTCTTGGATATCCTGACAAATCAATCGATTAGTGTGGCCCACTACTGGATTCGTTTAGAGCAACGGTAGATGCACCCTTATTAGCTATCTCGGCGGCTCACCACCTTTTCCCTTTGGTTAAACCGAACTCTGCGTCGCCTCATATGACCAATGAGTTCACCCGTGAATGCTGGGAGGGTCGCATGTTTCGTGTTTACTCGGATACCTTTGTATACCGGACTTGTCAATCCCGTTTGGCTTCACTTTATGTCGACTGCATTTCCATTCCCAGGTTATTCTAGTGTTCAGTTTGACGATGCTTGCTAGTGCAGATTGTTGTTCAGTATAGTAGCCCTCCGATGAAGCACTTGCTTAGTATACGATGTTGGTTTTGGTCTCTCTTCGGTATATAACCGATACGAGATGGGCATCACGCATCACCTCAAGTAAAATTACCATGTTCAAACTTGGGTAGCTCAGCAATTGAGTTATCAGCATCTGTCATCTGGGAGTGTCGCTCGAGCTGACCATTTACGTTTCCTTTTCTAATTCTAGCTTGGAGTTACCTGGCCCGTTTACTTTATGCAGTCGAAGGCCATCCTTCGAGCAACTTAGGAACCAACGCAGGACACGGACGAAACATATCAGACAACTTTTCTCCAAGTATCCCAAAGCAATTGCAGCCGAATCACCAGCTCAAATCGCGACACATCGTGAGTTTTATGCAATACACACTTAGTACACTGTTTGTTGATCGCTAATGTTATGTTTATATGTGCTATCAATGGATGCGCTACTGCTAACATTTCTATACAATGTACCACCTCACGCTCCAGAAGTTGTTGCACTTCCTCCATGAGTAACTGCCAGAGATGTCGTAATCAGCCGGTGTTTTCATTGGTTGTCCGTGATGGGGTTCACCATCTGATCTGTTTAGTCTGAATGCTCCAACGCGTCTTCATGGGTTACATTACTAGTGAAATAGCCTAACACAACCGAACTAGCTTCATCATTTAATCCGGCTGGTTCCCGCAGTCTGCTTCCCAACTCTTTCATGAAGGTCGTACGGGCTGTGTAGTTCAACACGGCTTTTTCTTTCTTGGGAACTCCGTTCCAACATGAACTTACTATTTTAGCTTCCAAACAGAAAGATCAGAAGACGTAAACTGTGAGATGACATAGTCATTTCGTGCAAGCTCCTCAATCACAAATCATGCAGAAATCATAGATATACAAATCGCGATCATATGAGATCAATAGTTAGCCAAGCGTTGGCCAATCGTCACGCTACCAAGATAGGTTAGAATTCACAATAAACTGTTTCTGCACACCAAGCAGCGGCCGCTCTCGATCGATGACAATAGCTTCCGATAGCCTGAGAATGTGAGGTCGCTGATTGCGCGTCAGGACGGTGATTGACTCATCGGGGTTAACTCGGTGGCCAGTGCACAGCAAATGCCTTGTGCTTGCCGAGGCAGCTCTATTTCTCAATTCAGCGGATTCCGCCGTCGCCGAGCCCATCCGGCTGCCTAAGCACTTAGGAATGTGCTCATTGATCTTGACACTAAACTTCGGTTGGTGCGCCCGATATAGCTGTCTCGCAGCTACAGGTAAATTTGTATAAGCAATAGGACATGCACTGCCTCGTTATCGGTGTCTTGATGGAACACAAGTTGACATGAGCAACCGTAGTTCAGCTGCATTGTACCGCTTTTTCACTGAAGCACTTCGCGGTTATTTTAATAATATGACCACCTTTGAACTACACAGCCCGTAAGACCTTCGTGAAAGATTTGGGAAGCAGACTACCGGAACCAGCCGGATGAGTCATTCACCGTCCTGACGCGCAGTCAGCGACCTCACATTCTCACGCTATTGGAAGCTATCGTCATCGATCGAGAGCGGCCGCTGCTTTGTGTGCAAAAACAGTTTATTGTGAATCTTAACTTACCTTGATAGTGTGTGGCGTGGCGATCGGCTAATTATTGATCTCATATGATCGCGTTTTGTATATCTATGCTTTCTGCATGAAGGTCAGTGTCATTCGAAATAGGAATCGAAATTTCGTTACGCAGTGCAGCTTGGTAACCTTGCCTGACCGGAGACTGAGATAACTTCTCAGTTCCCAAACGGGGGATACGCTTGGTGCACCTCCCGGTAAAGTTCACAGAAAAACGACTGCGAATCAAAGCATGATCAAAGTCGACGCAAGTACTCCAGTACGATCGACAGTCTATGATGGAACCACACCACTTGTAACTTATTGCAAACTTTTTTATGTGGATCCATCCTTGGCCACCTACATGAGGACGTCAAGTGGCACTTCGACGCAAACTGTCAGAAAGCAGTGCTCCTAAGGAACATCTGGTGCTCCGCACACAGTTGCAGCAGACGCTCGCCGTTGTCCGTACGGTCATATTTACCACCTAGCTGAGCTTCTGAAGAGCCCAGGCTATCTACTTGTACATTCATATCCCCTGCATCAATGATGATCTCTGAACTGCGTAGTAGCGTGTTCAATTCGTGGTAGAATGTGTCCTTGGCAGCATCAGAACTGCAGTCGATGGGGGGCGTAAGCGGAAACCACAAACAGCGTCTTGTGCTACTTCGTGAATCAACGTTAGTCGATGTCATCAAAACGGGCTGCACACACACGGCTGTTCACCGGAATCCAATCAACCAACGATGGCTCAACCTTGGAGCTGTGTACGATATAACCGCAGCTTGACCAGAGGCTGCCGCATCAGTGTCTCCGGATGCGTGCAACCAATAGCAAGAGGACAAGCCAGGTGCAGTTACTTCAACAACTCCATGAGAGTCATTGATCCTTGTTTCGGATACTCAAGACACGTCAATACCCAATGTGTCCAACGTGTTGCGAGTGCAGCTTGTTGACCTGTTTGTCTTAGGGTACGAACATTGAACACCGCCAAGGAAACGGGACAGCATGGCCTTATAAGAGACTGTTGCCGATAGGCGTCCAGTGGGTGCTGCGGGAAGGTGGCTGCAGATGGTTCGATTCCAGTGGTATTACGCATGCTGTCAATGAAGCTGGGAACTATAGAAGAAAGTTTAGTAATGGGGGTTGGGAGGGGAATAAGGGAGACAGATGAAAAAGGAAGAAGAGAGGCACCAGCAGTAGCATGATTTCACTTATCCGCCCTACTTTATTCAGCAGATAAGACGACACTTGCTGAGCTGCACGACGGCCGGTGCAGGATGTAATTAACGTTTGAGGAAATAATCATGGTTGTCAGGTTGTTGACAAGGTGTAGACGCCTTGACCCTGAATGGCCAAGACGTTAAGGTTTTCCGGTAAGCCCCCTTCTCTATCTTTTGTTACTCTTAGTTCCGTAAGTCGTTATGGTTGTATGGCAAAGAAACATCAGTTCAAATGGCCGATGTACTGCTGTTGATGATGATATCCTCTAACTCCACCGCCAGTAACTGTAACACTATCATAAGACTCTCTGTTGTCCCTTTCAAGCACAACTTTTTACAGCAACGCTTCCTGCGCAGTTGGTGTTAAAGGTTAGACTGCAACTCAATTGGCAGTGATTCAAGGTACTCCCACCAGTCTGGGCAGTCTGTTGCACCGATTGATATGGGTTTTTTGGATTTTTAGTATAAAAGTGCTGTATTCGCGGGATCCTGTTGTTTACTTGTACATCATAACCTCTCTGATCCGGCGCTCTGCCTAGGCGCACTTATCCCACTGCCAGTGACCTAACCGCCTCACTCATCCTTCGTAGGAATTATAGGCGAGCATTCATTAATGTAACGAGTTGAGGGAGGCTGTGTCCCAGGCTTTGTCGATTGACCAGCTACTTCATTCCATTTGCTCCAACTTATTTGACTTCACCGATAGTTGCTGTCTGGGTAGAATGTCACACATGATTTTCATCATGGCTTTCGCGATAGTACCGTTTGGCGATGGGGCCATCTAGGTGCGAAATGAACTTTGCCCCGTCGAAGTGCTGCTCCAGGCTTGGCACTGCCGCGTTCTCGTGCTCACTCTTGAAGGTGCACAACTTGAATACGTGGACAGCTTTGTCTATCGGGCTAGCTGCGTGTCTGTTGGTGGCACTATGGAGAAGCAACTTTCCCTCCGTATCTCCAAAGCTCGGTCGGCGTTTGTCAACCTGAATCACTTGTGGTGTCGTCGGGATGTCTCTCTCTTGGTAAAGGATCGTGTTTACAATGCCATATAGAAGCGAGTTATGGCCAGTTCGCGTTTATGAGATGTGCCTGCTCCTGGCCTTTGATAACGGATGCTTGAGGAGGATTCCGTGTGTGTGCTAGCAACAGCGTATCTGCTACGGTGACGTCAGTCGTCGTGTCTTAGGGAATGCGGGTATGCCCTACAACAAGCTGGTTTTGCTGAGTCTGTTTAGATGACTCGGTCACATCCTGCGTTTGTCAGCTAAGCGTTTGTCCTATCGCGCCCTTTTCAATCGTGCAAGACTCGATTGAAAGAGACCACGCAGTGGTCAGCCATCCACCTGGTGGCAGCATATAAAACCGTTGACTTCACGTCATGCTGCCATTGGATCCACACACCTGTCTGGTTCTAGACCAAACAACGAAGAATATGGCGCGCAGTCGAAACCAGTGGAAGATTTGCGTACATACTTGCTTTGATTCAAATACTTAAAACCTAACAAGTGACAGACAAAAAAACAACATAATGGCGTGTGCAAAATAACCATAAATGTTGCCCTTTTTTATCGCGGCCCAATAGGTGATATGTTTTACTCACCAGCTAATGTGCCACGATGATGACGCGGTGATTCAAACTTTGTTCTTCCGTTGATTTCCATGGTTTTGTTTGGCTGCTTACTTATTCGTTAGACTGTTGCTAACACTCACATTTTGATATTTGGTTTTTGCTCCCAATAAACATGAACGGCTGGGGACGTCTGAGTGTACTTCAGAGTCTGCTCCAGTGAGTTACTTGTTGTCAGATTCCCACTTGTCCTCCCATGTCGTCTTCACTACTCCTCACCGCTTCCTGAGGCGCTGTGCGGTTGCATGACTTACTAATATTTATCCGACTGAATTTTAGTAGTCTCTTATTCTGTTCTCAGTACTTTACACTGTTTAGCAATGGTCAATGAGAATTTACCTATTGAACTAACACCTCTCATGAATGGCCACAACTCTCTGGGCCGCGCGCTCTCCTCTCTGGTCATTGTCATCCACTCCTCGTTATTATCGTTTTTATACTACACTACGCAGGTCCACTTATTCGGGGATTACCGTGTCTTTTAAACACTCATCTTCAACACCCATCACCCTCATGTCTGCTTTTATTTGCGTTGCTAGGAAAGTTCGCGCTTTCGGCTGCAGCTGTCGTAGGAATATTTTTGGGTAAGTTGGCCCATTGAATCACCTTCTTAACATTACTCCGCAGCTCTCCTCTACGTCATTCTACGGGACTCGGTGAGTCGATCCATTGCACCATCATGGTCACATGCATTTAACCGCTCACTAGTTCATCTGACCGCGCTTTTGGCTGAAATTTTCTGCGACCATGACTCCTATGTAAATGAACGGTCTGGGCTGTGGAGTTAAGGGCAGTAGACAGAACAAACTGTTCTGATGTAACTGTGATTCTATTTTGGTCGTTATAATGCAAAATGTTAACGTATACCTTACGGGTACAGGTACTAACTCGCAGTTAGGGTAGTTCTGCGGAATGTGCTCAAACATCGAGCTCGCTCGATTATTTAATATATACGTTAAAACAAGGCACCCGAATATTTGTGTTATGCGGATTGATGTACATGAATGAAGGGTTGTATACTGTAGACTACGAAGAAATTGGAGGCTAAGCAGTTCAGTCAACTCACAGTGACGTCAATTTGCCTGACCCATGCGGTCACTAATTTGTAATTAATATATACTACTAGTGCGTAGATAGTAGTAACGTTACGTTGGTGAATTAGTAATTCACACATTTTGCAGTGCCGTTAGAGTGAATGTGCAATTCGTCGCATAACATTGCGCGAAGGCTAATTTTCTGACCGTCCTCCATACTTGCTCTGTCGTCCCTTCTGGTCGCGTCGTTGTTCCAGCTTTTTGTAGTCGGCCTATATTCACTGTACTTCACCCATCAGAGCTCCTTTGCGCCGATACCCTCGGTCACGGGATGCAAAACGACTGCATATTTTGCGGGTTCATTCGAAACACCTATTGTACGAATGGGTTGAAACACACTATCTCGAGCACTGAGACCATACGTAAAGTAAATAATTGTTACCTGTTGCTCACTCACAACTTTGCACTCTACGACCGGTCTCGTGTCCATTTGCACCTATCGGGTAGAGAGACTGGAACCACACTTTGGACACGAGACGCAGGTGTTCGCTCTTACGTCACAGGGTTTGAGTCGCAGCTCTGCTACCTCTATCTGATGAATGTAAACGATGGTGAAGCTAATCGCAGAAACTGTTAAAAATATTTGTAACTCGCTTGCAGACGTTTCGTTGCCAGACTAGGCAACATCGTCAGTGCGGCTTCGAGTCTGTTTCGCAGAGCCTTGTAAGCGACTTCGAGATCTGAGTGCTTGTTGATCGAGTTTTGCTTTGAATACCGCGTTTCAATGAATTCACCTGTTTGCCGGCTGCTTGCTCTTCGGAGGATTTCGACAGGCTTCAGCTCGAAGTGGTGGTTTCTGTATCCATATGCACGAACTACAAAGGGTTCTGATCAGAACTCGGGGAGCAGTGCAAAACCCACACCAATCGCAGAATGCAGTCACGCGGACAACACCTAGCACCATATGAGTGGTGGCATTCGTCTCCGGATTTGTCTGTCGCAGTAAATGCGAACAGTCACAGGACGCCTGCGTCTACAAAGTGGCCATGGGTAGTTTGCACTGCCCTATCCACAGCTTCATCCACACATCTCATATTCACTTTAAGCACAAAGGCATGTGAATGGGAGCCACGATTGATTCGGAGTCAGCCCACATTCCTCTAACATGCACACTGTACCAACAATACGAAGCCCAAACTAAGTACATCGTACGAAAACTAGACTAGAAACTACCAACAAATAAACCTAGACTTAACGCACGGTTTGGGCAGAAGAATACAACGAATTATCCTGTAACCGTGCTTCTATAAGGCATATTAAATACAGTACATGACTTACGAATAGGTTTTGCAATCGTAGTGCAAGAGGGCGGAAATTGTACAACGTGTGGCGGCTTGGGAGTATTTCGGCAGCGTCACAGTAACATATTAATATGAATAACTTTGAAACGTCAAGGAGATGTCAGTGATCGAAAGGAATAAATATACGATATGGTAACCGACTGTAGTACACAGAGTAAAACAATGTAAAATGAGCAGAATAATTAGGGAATACAGATACGGTGTCCTCATGTAAGCAATCCAGGTTGGGGATACATCAAAATTCCTTTTGGACGTTACACACACCCTTCCTATGAAATTAGGGTAACATGCATATCAAAGGTACGCAGGGCGGTGGCTGGGTCGCACTTATTTTCACAGTGGATGGAACCAACCATTAAAAGCCTAGCACCATCTCAAAGACCGTGCATCCCGTCACCCCAGCAACGATTAATAGTCTCCCAGAGCTGGTAAACGAAGTAAGCAGACTGTAGGTCGTAACGGAAATTCCCCGCCATACGACCACCTTCACTTGCACGCGCCCTGCACATACTGCGAGATCGCCGGTATCTACGCAACATCGAACAGCGTTGATATCACACCAATCGGTCACCAAGATGGCAGTACTAGATAAGTGGGTACCACCCTCTCAACATGCATATCAAACGCATTCATATCTGGAGTACCAACCGGAAGTGGCCGTGCGATAACATACACACATGTACAGACCATCTGTAGGTACGGATGAGCACACCTGTCGCATTATTGGTCTGAGTTAGTAAGTAAAACCGGAAGCAGCGTACTTGCGCTGGCTCTTACCCATTTAACATACCCGTCGCCTCTTCAGTATTGACCCCTCGTGGCCACGTTAATGTCTTACAAGACCGACTCGGCTGCGCCACACACGGACCTATGTGCTGTAGCGGCAGATACATGACGTGGGCTTGGCTCTGTCGCTTGCGTAACCTGCGTTTTTGTTCCTGATGTAACGCTCCTTTCGGATGCACCTGGGCAAACGGCATTCTTAATATGCTCATGCCATTGGCACCGATCCACTGCCATTGCCTCCCAACGCCTACAGTTAACATTAGCAGAACTAAACTCACCTTGATCATGTCCTGGTAACGTAGCTTTGGTTTACACACGTTCCTCTTCCATGTACGCATTTGGCTATACATCAGGCGTTTTGGTATCGTGGTTGCATCCATATAGTGTGCATTTCCGAGCTATATGTGATATGGGAGAAAAACCATACATTCCACCGTATTGTCGCTCCGGAAGAGCACTTTTGGGCCAGGAACCGTGTCACGCCAACGGATGCGCAGAACCCGACACAGCCACTGATGTTAAAGTCGTTCCAGATGTCCATTGTCCCTCTGGTACGACGTCCATGTTTTGCTCTCATAGAGAAGGATCGACAGCACCAATACCTTATGCATCATCAACTTGATTCCCACGGTCAGTTGATGACGGACGATGTTCCCATTTTGTCAACTTCCGCGTTCGCCTTCCATACGCTTGTGCACAACCATTTGGTCATTTATCTTTGTTTTCCGATTGAGCGAGATGCGGCGCTCTTGCTGAAATCTGACCGTTGCACAACTTGGACAGCCACAGATAGCTCCATGTGAGTCGGTGCTCAGGACCGGTTAACCATTGTGTGTGTTACTGAATGCAAGGTGGGTGGTTGCTCTCTTCTCACTGGTCCGTGCATGCGTGTGTAGTGCAACACCATTTATGATGTACTGTACTGTCCCTTTGATAACTACATCAGTAAGCAATTATCACCAAGTTGGTCCGCTAGTGTTCCCAATAGTACTATTGTTCGTGGTGCATGTGTCGTGCTTGTACTCATATGGGTCCATTCTTTGTAGCTCGGTTGCAATCGCATTATGTTTCGGATCCAAATCTTTCAGTTTAAAGCGTGGTTAAGTGTCTGACAGGCATTTGTTGAGAAGGAACATGCCTGTAGATAGTTGGTGTTGCAGTTGACTTAATCTACTGAAACAAATTTGACTACCCACGGGACGGCGTGTTGTATCGATGTCCTGCGTTTTTTGCGATCATCCTCAAGTGGGCTGTGGCCACCAGTGTGGTAGTCGAACTTCGCCGATGCGTTTCCTTGTCATTGTAACCATTGGCACCTACTTATCCACTGGCACACAATCAGAAAGTGGAGGTGACGACAAGACCACCAATGAAGCAGAAACTTTAGTGGGAAGAGTGATCGTTGAGGAAACTTCCGGCCGGCGACTTAAAGGATAGCACTCCTGTGTCGTAATCCTAACATCACCGGCTCGAACTCGCTCAAATGCGGGCGACGTGGCGGTATACACGGCCCACGCGTGACTGGTGGTGGTCGCGCGGCAGCAAGGAGTCGGCGCGATGTGCTGGCGTACGATGGGTATCTTTTTTCCTTCTTGGCTTGGACCAAAACGCCTACAACACGCGAACACCTTGCGCTCCTAAATAGCTGACTGCTGCTTGCAGACGGCACACTGCGATTGGTCCGTCGAGCATGCCTGCCGGTTCCCTGTAAATCCGATTTCAGGCGAGCTCGTAGAATTAGCGCACGAACTACGGGTTTCCATACTTATCTCAGCATACTCTACCAAGAAGCATACTGGCTTTTTAGGTAGAGTTCTTTTGACATAAGTGTAGTGTATCTTTTAGAAGTTAATCTCTGTTAGTAATGTACACAAATCATCACCCCATCACTAACTTGGTAACTGAATATGAAACTGATCGGGGAGGGCTGCGTGCAATTGCTGAGTGGGTACGGTTTGCGTGAGCTGGTCTAAGATCGACTGCGGTGGATAGCGAGTCTGCGGGCCCGTTGCCTTCAATCCGGTCATTCTTTTTTCATCTTATAAACATTTACTATTCTAAAAGTCAATCTGCGGCACGTGATTCTTTGATTATACCGTCCTATTGCTAATGATGCCATGTGTAGTTTACTGAGCTCGTCCTATCCGCTTTCACATTACTGTCATTCGCAGTACTATATATCTCAATTGGTTGAAGAACTCAATTCCGTACAACTGCAGCACGCGAAAGGTAGGCTGGATGGCGAACTTGTTTTCCTTGTCCCTCTCGATACCATATCATTAAGTGTCCTTGTTTCATTGAATTTCGCTGGGCTTGATAATGCACGAATTTCATGTCTTTCTCGCCTGACTCATTTGAGACGCTTCCATTCCGTTCCGAAGCCGCTCACCTTTGAGCCTTTCCGGATACTGGTATTGATAAGCCGAATTGCCATTTAAAGAAAGCTATTTTCCGCAGTGCAGTTGACCCATCAGTAGTACTCATTCTGTTTGCAATCTGGTTAACTTAAATGAGCCTGTGGTTTACTGATGTGTCCCATTTTCCGCTCGGCATATCTGATGGTAGCGATTACGACCAGTCCCGATTTACACGACTTTGGCATCCCGAGTACGTGGTTAGTATTTGTTTACTTCGCTACCTCTACTCCATGATAGCGACGTTACTTGTAGTGTCTCACGAACACCACGCTTTTTCAGTGCCTCCTGTCGCTTTGTGCACCATCCAGTTGACCTTGCGGATTTGATTTACATTGCTCTTTCGGGTTCTGAACACCCTGTTTTTGAAGCGGGAATTTAGATGTATTATTCTGATAAGTTTTAACGACATCTGATCTGTTTGCACCTGCGTGTATGCAAACAAAGCCCAATCACCGCTTTGTTGACTTCACGTGTCAATTGTATGATTCTGTAGTACCTATGAATAACTTTACCGGTTGTCGATGCGCTTAGACATGCCTCTCTCATGGCCCGTTTGTGCTGAACGGAAGCGCGCATTTAATGGGTGCACAATTGCCATATCGTCAACTCGAAACTTTGAATTACCAGATGCCAAACACATCCATTATGAGTGCTTTAAACACCTATTGATGTACGTGCTGCTTACTATCGCTACTGGACACGTTTTGGCTTTCTTGTGAACAAAACAACGAGGCTAGATAGCAGTGCTTGCTCTTTCACCGATCCACCATGACGTTACATCCTTGGGCTCCAGTGTAGATGCTCGTATGTGGCTAAAAGATACTGTTTACCGCATGCACATAATACACTCTCGTCACGTTACAATCCTCATTTACTACTGCGCGTCTTTTATCGTTTCAGATCTGTTACGTGAATCTCGGAGGTGTCCAGATCAAGCCGGACTGATACGCAATATGTCGTTGGAACACCAACACGAACGGCAAAATTGGGAGTTGGGTGAGGATATCAACGCCGATTGATCTCACTACCATCAATGTAGTTGTTGGGACGTCACAGTTTGACTCTCCACTAAGCTGAAAAGCAAGTTCAGAGAGGAAAGTTGATACACGCAGACCTTTCGTATTGTCTCTTCGGTACCGGTAACAGCGACTGGTACGAATACAAGTACCCAACACTGGATGTGATAAACCGAGTTTGAGGGGCAAACTGAATGACTGAAGTACGGTCCCCAATTCCAGGGTTGCCTACGTATGACGAAAGAGACGGGCATTAAAGTAACCGAACACATGGTTTCAGAAAGTTTTGAAAACAATCGGTTAGTGTAGTTTGTGAGCAACGTTTCACTTTTGACACAAAAGCTTCGTCAGGCCAAGTGAACCAGTCGAGGACTGGTATAGCACTTATAGCGAACTGGGATGATAATCGCGACGAATGGGATGTAGGCAGATGGTCAATCGCGTAACAGGTCAACGCATCACTCCAAATAGTGCATGGAACGGTCACAAGTGGTCCGAGTTGCCATCATCATCATTCTACACGTTAGCTGCAGGTGGAAAACACCTCAGCTATTGTGCCGCAAAAAAGGAAAACAAACAGTGGCACTCCGGCTGAGTCCCCAGTAACGGATGGACATCGTTCCGGAGAGCTAACAGCTGGCTATCGTGCCGTAAAAAGAGAGTCGTATTATGCCTAATGAGTGAGGTCGTGATTGGAGGGGGATGCTAAGCAGGAGGGGGATGGACAAAGGAACTCACAACACAAACGCCATTGGGGCCGGCTCCAAGCCATATCAGCAAGTGTGTTCAACCAAACGTGTTCACCGTCCTTAGGACCCCAGCCAGGCAGTCGGGATGCACCAATCGACGCCAACTTCGAAGTGAGGGTTTTCATCTCTCTCGACCAAGTCATCGCTTGGCCTCCCCTCCTCCTCTTCCAACCGCACCCACAACGCGCAAACAATGCACGTCGCGGAAGTCGTTGTGCTGGCATGCGCAACACGTGGCCCAACCATCGGAGCCTGGTGCGTGATATAATGTTGCTGAACGGTTCACTCGCTCTTCCTGCACCAAATACGCGACGCCGAACACGCTCATTGCTCACGCGGTGCTCCCACCAGACATGAGCCAAGCTGCGAAGGCAGCGATGATCGAATAGGACGAGACTCTTTATATCTGTCGACCTAATGGGCCAGGTTTCACAACCATATAGGAGAGTTGAACGGACGGCTGCGTTATAAACTCTAGCCTTCAGGGCGAGAGTAATGTGGCGTCTGCGCCACAGGTGGCGGAGATTGGCAAAAGCACCTCGAGCTTTTGCTATACGGTTCGTAACCTCATCTTCAATCCCACGGGTGCTAATATAGCTGCCCAGGTACTTGAATTCCTGAACGACTTCTGACAGATCACCACCAAGCGTTAGCGCAGGGTTGGGTCGCTGCCAATCTTGGAGAAGCACTTTGCATTTCGATGGAGCAAAGTATAGCCCAAAACGATTGACAGCCAGTGCTTCTTGGCATGTTTGGGAGCTGTCACAGATTAGGGCAATATCGTCCGCATACTCTAAGTCAAGAAGTCGCTCACCAGGGAGTAGCTCCACACCTCCTAGGTCGTGTCCAGCGAACGCTGTTTCCATGACTTCATCAATAGCGAAGTTAAAGTTACCAGGTTACACGTGTAAGCCCTGTTAACGATGGGTGCGAGGATGATATGGTGTTCATTCTCTGTCATCCGGACGGTCCTAAATAAAGCAAATCTAAGGATAATTTTCCAGAAAAGTCAAACAATGCTCTATACTGGTGTACTTGAAAGACCCACTTGCAGCAGATAGGACAACCAATTACGTCTACAAAATTAGTTACAAAGACTGCGCATACGTGTACGTCGGCCAAAGCGCGAGTGAGCTACACACAAAGATAGCAGAACAAAGGAGACGCATAACACGGCCACCGAGAAACGAGCTTGTGTCTAGGGCTCTACTAAGCAATTCGGCAGTAGCGATGCATGCGATAAATACAGGGCATGAGACCGACTTGGATAACGTCAGAATCGTTAGAAAGGGGTTACGATCAACTCCCCAGAGGCCGACTGCTGAGGCAGTTGAGATTAGCAAGGTGAAAAGCTGCGTGAATAGGATGGACAGGGCAGAGCTTCCGAGCGTGTGGCGAGCTGTGTTGACGCGACCAGTTTGAGGAGCGCCGGCGGACGTATCCAGGGTATAGAATAACTACCACCCATCACCGCACCCATCGTTAACAGGGCTTACATGTGTAACCTTGTGGCCGTTCCATTCACTACTTGGAGGGGTGCGTTGACTTGTTACGCGATTGACCATTCGTCCCGATTATTATCCCGGTTCGCTATAAGTGCTATACCAATTCTCGACTGATTTACTCGGCCTGACGAAGCTTTTGTGTAAAAAGCGAATCGTTGCCTACAAACTATACCAACCGGTGGTTTTCAAAACCTTCTGAAATAATGTTCTCGATCGGTTCCAAGTATTTTCCAAGATGTTGAGTAACCGAACGCACTTTTGAACACTGACCATGGCCGCTATGCGGTGATCATTGACCTGTAGCTGTTTGCCTGTGGAGGAAGCTGACGGCCTACGCGAGCATGGAAGTTAAGAGCGTCAGGGATGCTGAGCAACTTCACGCTGAGCCAATTTTAACACCTGCTAATTTATTCGGGAAGTCGAGTCCTATCGGTTTCGCCTACGTACCTGACTTAGCAGTCACTGGTGTGAGGCTGATGACATGCATTAATGGATTGAGTCTGTTATTTTCCTGTAAACAGGCCTCTTAATCAGTCCATCGGTTCCGCACTTGATAGGGGTATCTAGCTGTGGTAGTGCCTCCTCCTCATAGGTGGTACACGATTTGGTATCCGAGTCTCTGTGCCCATTTGGGCCACCGATATCCTCGGTAGGAAACTAATACAGGTCACGTATCACCGGCTAGATCTCGTCTCGGTTTTTTAAAGTCCTGATGTGCCACGCTGATTCCCCATTCTTTCGTTTCGCTAGGGTTGTCGCTTTAAGTCGGATGAGACTAGCGATTTGCGTTTAAAATTTTACCAGTCTTAATTCATCATGAACGTAAGGTCTGGACTCCCGTTATGCATTTTGCACAAACTTCGATTAATCACACTCACTGCTAGGTATGTATATGCATACCGGTTATTGTTAATGGCACTGGAGATACGATAGTAAGTCCATGTATCTAAGAGCGTTCGTCTTCTTTTTGTGCGTTTCAAGTTGCTGAGGGGAACTGGGTGTTCTACATCAAGTGTTGAAGCGGCAATGCACGTACATCACGCCGAAGATGTTCGCGTTCTTCGATTCAAGAACACGCATCCTTAGATCACCTTGTCCTCACGACGCATTTACCCGAGGAAGTATTCCCATGCAATTTGTGAATTTTTTAAGTGCCCTTTCATCATAGGCACGGTATTTATTCATGGTTTGCCTATTTTTGGATGTCTTTCCGACGTGAAACGTCGTCTACTATTATTGTTCTGTTTCCAAACTTTACCCAGTTTGATCGCATGCTGCCTCGTGACATGCCCCCCCCCGTAGAATCTCACGATGCAGCCATTGAGGTGTTAGTTGTAGAACACCGCACCATATACTGCTGGTGACATCTGTTTGTCCTTCGACATTCGCAAAGCGGTGTGGTTCACACTGCTTGCACTTTCTGTAGTGGCTCCATCCTCCAATACACGCTTCGCATCTTCACCGCACAATGTGCTGTTGCTTTTCTTGACTGCGGGGAGCTACAACTATTCAGGCGGTTCCCTTCCCTTGGCATTTGCATTCACAGTAATGAGCGTTCATTCGCGAGTGTACTCTGCGCATACCAAAAATGGTAAATATCTCTATGCATCCGCAACAATTTGAACGCCTGAAGGAAAATTTTTATTTTAAAAGTTCTCTGCACAGGTCGCAGTGGTGGTGTTTCCTAGGGCAGTAAGATTTGAACTCTTCGGTCCTGAATGTCTCAGACATCTTATTTTTGACCACGACATGTGTTGGCTTGCACCACAGTATATCTGAACCGATGAGCTGCGTAGTCAAGTACCAGGTGCCAATGATCAGGTTGTTTCCTAGTTCTATGAATAACTGAGCAAATTCCGCTTGATTTTAGTTGTGTGGTTACTGAGGATGACCTTGTTTCGTTTTGTCGGATAGTGTAAGTCTTATTGAAGAAAATCCCTCAATTGATTCAATGAATACTATCAATCTGTCTCGCCCTCTAGACTAAGCTCCATGGAACCAGGCTCGTGCTTGCTTTGAAGTACCGCAACACCACTAGCGTGTTTGCTGTCATCTCCCAACCGAGCTGCCTTTGAATGCCGTGTTGTCCGCGCTTTAGAGCTGATTGTAACGCGTGCCAATGAGAACCACAAGCAGTCTGTCTCTACCTTGATGCCTGGGCCTCACACTATTGACAGTTGTTTGTTTACTCAGTATAGACACCTTGCTCCTAGATGTTTGCCCGCCAAATTTATGCCTTACGCTAGGTCCTCTTCGTTCCCTTTTCTTATTCCTCATTGGTATAGTCATCTCTCTTGATTGATGGTTGTGTGCTAACAAAGATACATTGGTCAGTGGATTCTCAACATTGCTCACCGGGTTTATCGTCTGGGTGACAAACATGTTTACGCCGAATTCAATCTGAACTTTTTGAAGCAAATAATTCAGGAACCAGCGACTATGTCCATTTTCCAGTTTATTCCCGCACTGGTTAAACACCCATCCCAAAGTTCCACTAATGCTCAGAAGACTACAACCGAAGGGGGTTTGTCACCACCTCTGAACCCGCTTAGGACAATCTGTCCGATTTCATCATCAGTGTTGAAATATTAATCCCCGAGGAATTTCTCAGGGGTCCGAACCAACGAGGACCACTTTTTGCTAAGCCACAACCATACGTAGAATGTGGTGCTGAGACTCAGAAAATAGTGTCTTTGCATATCGCAACGGTTTTCGAATTCAGTGCAGGCCTCAGCTCCCCTGTGCCGGTCAAATTTCTGAACTTTGTTTCAGAACGGTAGAGATGATCTCGTTTGATTGTGTTTACTACTCCCAGCAAGGGATTAAACACGTTTGCTGTTTCATGACAACTTATGGGGCGATTATCAATGGTATGCTGTCCAACGCGCTGATTGTTCCCAAAGACTTGGGTGGTATCCACCTCAACCGGAATCATCAGTTACCTGTGTACGACTCTCGTTGCAGAGATTGTGCCAAATCAATGTCTTACGGCGACCGGGTCTCTTATCGCCATAGTGTAGTTGAAACATTCCTTGCATTTCACCGGTTTTTTTGCTACGCTTCAACAGAAATTTCATCACAACACGCCATTCCAAATACAAGCTCACCTTGTTGTCCGCCATCCTGAATAATTTTTTATTGAATTATGCACAAGGATAGTGCATGTTGAAGGTAGCAGGATACCAGTTCTTATCATTTGCCTGTCCCTACTGCGTGCATTACTTCCGCTTTTTGATGCAATTTTGAATGTAAAACAACTTCCTGGCGGACTTGAGCGATCTACAGAGGTTTTTATCTCTTCAGTCGTTAATCTACTCATTTCGCATTATCGTGTATGAAAGTGGAGCGACGCTGACTAACGGAGTGGTGTACGCTTTATGGATCGCGCCAATTATACACTACATGAGAACTTGTCTGAATGGATGGTGCTTTGCGGACGTATACGAGGACAGAGAAATAGGTTTCCAGATACGCAGTACACTGACTAGGTGCAAATGACCTGGTAAGAAAAATGCGAACTTTAATCCATTTCTAACATTGTTTAGTAATTTCAACTCACAGAACCCTATATCAGCAGTCAAGCAGAGCTCACAATTCATATGGGTCGTTATAATCTGACTGTAAGTATAGAACTCAGTCGGTCACTAGAGGGCGAAGATTTCGTATGACTAAAAATGTGGTTTAAAACAGCACCAGTGTGCTGAGTGATTGTGTGCTGCATTTGGTGATGATGCGCCTTCAAGAACCACCGTATTTTTGAGTGGTTTGCGGAATTCAAGCGTCGTAGGCGGTCCCTGGATGATGAGGCAAGGTGTGCTCGACCGACCGCGGACAACATTACTGCCGTGCAGGCGATGCTAGAGGTGGAAGGGCGGGCGAATGAGGAAAGCCATCGGGATCTATCCGCACCATCCTACATGAGGACCTCGGTCTCAAAATAGTTTGTGCATTCTGGGTACCCCATCAGCTCAATGAGGACAGAAAGCAGCTCAGGTGAATTGGTGCTGCACTATACTTACCACGTTTGTTGGTGGACGTTCCAATGTTGTTTGGGAGGTCCTCAGTGGTGATGAGACCTGGGTGTACAGTTTCGACCCAGAGACCAAGCAACAATCGGATCAGTGGATGGCCGTTGGTGGGGTGCACCGTGGTCAAGCAGACAGTGGCTGTGTTTTCGTGGCCAAAACCGGTCGTGTGGCTACTGTACCGCTTGTCCGGCAACGCACAGCCACCGGAGACTGGTATGCTACCCGCTTTCTGCAAAAATGCTGGAAGCTGTAGCCAGGCCTCGTCCAAGGACTCGAACATGATGGACTTGGCTGCGCCATGACAACGCATCTGCACACAGGTCCCATGTCGTCGTAGATTTTCTGGCTAGTGTACGCATCCAGAAAGTTGGCCCCCATCCTACAGTCCATACCTCGCTCTGTGTGACATTTTTGTGTTCCCAAATGTCAAGCGTATGATGCGTGGAATCCGCTACGAGACTCCAGAAGCTGCAGTAGAGGCCTTTACTGAGTTGCTTGAAGGGTTACCTGCTTCAAATGGTTTCAGCGCATAGAACTGTGAATGAACGCCAGTGTAGAGTACTTCGAGAAAATGTGATGCTTAGTTTCTTGTGAAAAATAGCACTTTTTGTTCATCCGGATACTTATGGTTCTACCCTCGTACGTGCTGCTCATCTGCACGCCCGTGTTTTTTTAACATTGTAATGTCTGCTCATGTCGATTCCCACTAAGATCTGGTATCAAATTGCTCACCAAGGCAAGTTCCCCTACCATTATCCATATGCGACTAGAAAAAAGTGCAAACCTGCTTACAGTTGTTCGGTTACCCCTTAGCTAGCTGGTTTTTTGCTAGACCATGGTCTCGTCGTCATCAACGGTAGCAACAATGCACCAATACCTTGAACAGTTGTTTCGCTGTCAAACAACCATGCTGACCTAAGGACTGAGGAACGGTAACATGCGGATAAATGGACTATGGCGTTTAAATTTGTTACCCTAAGCAAACATTCAGGGTTAAGACACCCACACTCTATCAACAGTACACCGTCGCAAACACTTGTGGCATCAGCATTGCGTCGGTATGTGGCACTGACGCTTAGCTGCCACACGACGACCAGCAGCCGCGTGCGGACTACGGCTACTGCAAGGTCGCCCGGAACATGTGGCCTGTGGATTACAAGTCAGACGCCTGGATCACCTGGCGTGACAATAAGGGATCAGCGTAGCAGCCACCTTGTGGCTTTCACTGCTCCGCGTTATAATCAGTCCTGTCCCAAAGGTGACTCATCGTCAGACACACCTACACATGCATTCCAACTGGGAGATGACTAAAACCGCATCACTGATGCCATCTATGAGCTTTATCGTTAAGGAGTTATCTGGTAATTTTTAGTCCTTGATTCTATTCCTGTCTCTCATTCATTGGGCTGCTCTTTTTGCTAGTATTTGCTTGTAATGGCCTTTCTTTGTTGTCACTACCTGTCCCGGGTGTACAGCACAGTATTGGTTTGACTTGAACATAGAATGCGTCTGGCGAATACAGCTGGTAATGAGTTGGCCTAAGAAGCTCCACGGTTACTGGAAAGCGACTGTGTTCCCTGTTGAAGAGCTAGCTGGAGCTAGGTGCTCTACGACTATACCGCGAGTTGTGATCATACCTATCGAATCGCCCACGTCGAGCGGCCCCGCAACTAGACACAAATGCTAGTGCCACATATCGGGCCAATGTGTTTAGCTAATCATTCGTTTATCCGTGACATAATGCACTTGTCTTCGTAGTCGCAATGATGCAAATTGTCCGACATCCTGCAGGCTGACACTCCATCTTCGAAGCACTGGTCATAGTGGCGGCGTTTAAAAGCGTTCTATTCGTCCACTACGTCTGAGTCGTGCGGTCACCCGCTTGCATCTATTACAGGGACATTGTGAACTAAATGTTTGTACAGCTGAGCGCCTTCTAAACTATCCACCTGAGTATATACTGGGTGTGTACCCATTTTTGACCTCTTTTTTAATCACACCCAATGGTCCTCTCTTTTTTATTCGTTCCAGAAGTACAGTCGCTGTCTCAGCAATTGAAAGCGCGTGATGCAGAATTAGAAAAGCTCGTTCGGGAATCGCGGGCCGACAGAAATAAATTGGAATCGGGTACAACTTACGTTGTTTTTCTTTTATCACGGTCTTTCTCTATGAGCACAGTTGAGCGAGGATAACCTTTACTTGTTTCCGATATAAATACATAAATAACTAAATATTTTATTCTCGAATGCATCGAGACACACCAAATAAGCCCAGTTGGGTTTCGCAACTGTTTTATTGATCCTCATTCGAATCGCCTATCTGCTCTGCTTCTATCGAAAGCCAGGTAGCCAGACTCTTTCAACCTTACGCGTGAAAACTCCAGCCTGACGTTGATAACCCCTGTTGTAGGTGCCTCTCGACTTTCCTTTCTTCCACCCGGTAACGGGTGAAGCCGCCATTTCCGCTCTCTAGAGGCCATGGCTACGTAGCCAAATTCACTTTATCAAGGCGCACTACCCTCGATACCATCGGGAAACCGAATCGTCAACAGCTTGTCAAATTATAGCGTTGCTTATTGCATTCCTTCGCGTCTGATGATCCCATTCGAATGACTCGTGCGAAGGAGGCTCACCGCTCATTAAAATCTCTTCAAACCGCATACCTCTCACTAGAAAGTGCGGCCCAAATACCGTCATAAATAAATAAACTTTTATTCTCAACCCGTTTACTTTTATTGTTTAAGAGCGCATTCTTCATTGCCCCAGATGTCGAAAAAACCTCGTGAATCGCGGTTCTCTCTCTAGTAACCGGAGCTTGTATCATGGCTTTCACTACTAACTGTCCACCAGACTACTGGATGAACCGCTTAGAGTGCTTTTCGAAGTCTCACTGACAGTGGTAGTCTGTTTCTCCGGTGGCCAAGCGGTCTGCACGCCTGGCTTGCAACCACAAGGCCACCGGTTTGAATCCGCGTAGGGGCGGGCGTCCTCGCTGTATAGTAAGCCTACGCGCGATTAGTGATGGTCGCGTGGCGGCAAAGCGCCGTTACGGTGTATAGCTGACGATTCGTTTCGTCTGTTTTTCCCACTGCGTAAGCGCCAAATTCTCCACATCGAGAGCATCACCGTGCCCGTCGCATCACCTGGCTCTTAGTGAATGAAGCGCTGCGCGCGTCCACATTGAGCAGATCACGCCCACCTACATGCTGCCCACAACAGTTCGTCGACATTGCCGATCGATCTATGGCGCTTGTCTGAATTCTGGCCATACCTCCACTACGCACCTGCTCGCGCTCGTTCCTATGTCAGCGTAGCACTTAACTTTTGGCCTGCTATTGTTCTGTCACTCAGATATAATCCGGGCACCGAAATGCGATGGGTCGGTTCGGATGCGTTGACCCACGTCGCTACATAAATAGTTCTAGTACTAATAGTAGACTAGGGACGCAAACATGCAAACAAAATTCAAAGGAATGGTGATGACGGTATTCTTGTTAACCGAAAAGTTTGGTAGAGCTGAGAGGCCAGTTAAAAGGGCATCATTTGCCTGAAATACACTTTGGCTCTCATTAGATCAAACCCAGTTACCATGTAAGCGCTTTTGCATGGACTGGCGAGAACGTTGCATGCATCGAGATCATGCTTTTCACCTTAATATGCAATGTGTTGCTGCAAGCGTGGGCTGACGTGTCACGTGTTCTTACTGTCATCGAAGGCCACCAGAAGTGATCGATCGGTTTACCCACTTAATCCTGCGGCCCTGTCAGCTCTTTTCAGAACGACAAGTGCAGTTCATCGGAGCTGCCCCATCTATCTTTTCCTCTTCAGTTTAATGATCGAAACCATCACGAGTGACTCTCCTGCCTCCTCCCACCTTTTAGGAGATATAGACCTGTTTGGCGACTGAGTGTCAAACCTGAAGTGCGCGTACCACGTGTTCTTTTTGGATCGGACCCATCTGCCATGCATATACTACAGAATCGACTAAGACAGCATTGCGTGCTTTGGTACGCACTTTGCAAAGCACTTTCTACCCGACTTGCTACTAGTTCTTAGTGTCATCGGGCAATCGCTCGGAGTGGTCGACCGGTTCACTCATCTAGGCATCCGTATCACTTCTTAATGTCAAATCGATAAGGTTACTGCCCGTATCCACGATACCCATATGATTTCTAAATCTGCAATGTGATATTACCTTACGATCGTTGTTTTCGAAGTGACAATTGATTCCCGTTCGTTTTTATTAAGTGTCGAATGCATACTGTATGTTCTAGGTACTCCTGCGATAATCAAGAAAAATTACCATTGAGTCATTCTTTCCCTAAGATTTGGCATGTGTGTTGCGTTTTCTGAGACTTTTTTTCAACTCGAGCCCTCTGTCGGTTTCAGTTATTTGTCATGCTTTTCAACTTCTGAGCTACCATAAGCTGTCTTTATGTACTCGAAGCGTGTTTGACCTCGAGTTCACCCTTTCTGTCTCGTTTTCTCTGCGTCTATCACACAGATCTGCGCACACTGTCCGACCGGTATCGAGAACAGGTAGCCGCATCAGGGGAAACCATACTGGAGCTGCAATCGGAGCGGCGAAAACTAATGGATGGTGTGCCTGTGCTGAATTCTCTTTTTTCATGGATGTCGTTCTCAAGTCTAAATTGTTTATACCCCCAACACATTAGCTGATTGCAGTTTCCATAGACGTCTTTTGCGCTTATTTCTACTAACGAAGCGATCTTTCTCATACAATCAGCACATATTTGTGTAGACAAAACGTTCCTGCTCTTCCAACGTATCACGCACACGCAGTTAACTGTCACACTTAGCTGACAATTGGGCGCATTTTTGCACAAATCGGCCCATTAAGCTACAGTTTTGTCACGCCGAGGATAGAGACGTACTTATCTCTGGTATCACGGCTAATTGCACAATAGCCACATCAAGTCTTCGCGTTTCGCCTTGTACACTCCGATTTGTGCAGCAACTGAGTGTCGCTATAATCACGCTGTCGTGTCACCGTAGATGCTGTATCAAGGTATACTGTTGCCCGATTGCCACAGCGACTGGGCAGTGTATTGGCACCTGCATCTTATCGTTTATGGCGGAGCCAATGCAACTACCAAGAACGAAACCAGTAATTTGTTTGCTTATGCGGTGTGTCCTAACGATGTACTCGGTAGAGATAGGTGGGGATATTGCCAGACGCGCGATCGATATATGCACTAGGATGGAGCAGATCCAGTATGTGGCTAAATGCCATTTAGACAACCTCTATGATGTAATCACGCAAGGGCATTTAACCTCATTATCAGCCTACCCAGAGGTAGTTAATCACTATTTATGAGGTGCGTACTGTCCGATCTAATTTTAGCATGAAATCGCAATGTACTGTATCGGTGGCCTAAACATAACATGCGTCGTTTGACTGCCGTTATCCATTCCTGATCATTTTGTGTGTCTGGAGTGTGCAACACGTAATGCGCCGTGTTTTCGTGTGCTACCATCAACTGGTCCGGTCGTGATTGCTCTTGTTCCTATTTGTGTCAACCCGTCTCGCCTACTGGTATAAAGCCGCCTCCGGTGTGTTTAGCAAGGTAGCCCCTTGGAACTCCCTCGGTTGAACTCCGCGTGTGGGTAGCTCAAATTCGCTTGTCTCCGTGGTCTAGACGCTGGGCTTACGATTCGCATTATTTTATGTGTGCAAATGTACCACCTAAAATGTACCCATTAGCATTGAGAATTGCTTCAGTCACCCGTAGTCCGCGTTGTAGCCGAATCACTTAATGCGTAGTTATGTGATGCCTCAGAATAAAGCCAATTAACTCCTCTGTAGCATTACTTTTTTATCTTTTTATCTTTTCTGTGCAGCCGCGTTTTCTGCCAAGTCAGCAAAGAGATCTGGGAAGACAGACTGCCACGAGATAAAGTCGGAGAATGAGCAACTGAAACAGCAAATGAAATATTTGATCAAAGGTACTGAGCTATTTATTCTTTACATCCAAAGCCCAGCCTCAGAAAGGACTCACAATGAACATGGTGATTGCGAACGCATGTATTACGGCCTTATTGGCTACGAAAGTATTTGGGTGCTTCGATACGAAGATGCCACGGATGAGATTCAGCGTCTTATAACCAATGGCCTATTGGGGTTGAATCTGACCGACATTGAGGGGCAATGCGATCGACTAGCTCGCCCCATTCCCGGCGGATCTGTCCGCCTCTCGCTAAGCAGTTCGGCATTGTCATACATTTCGTTACTAGCATAATTGACGCTGGTGCTTCAATCCGGCTTACAGTACGTTATACAGTTTCCCCGGCGATGAGTGCTCGCAATGTAGTCCGTCTGTCTAAAATTGACTGTAATGAGAGTTGCTGCGCAGCACCTTGACACCGTCGGCGCCGGTTTTTGCCAATCACAGTAATCAAACCATGGGGTGCACAAATTAACTCCACCTCACGACCATGATTCCTCCCACAAGTAAGTCGGCCCATCCGCCCGGTTCACTCTGATAGATTCCTAATCTGCCTGCTTTTGTGTTCAGCTCTTTCGCTGGTGCCTGCGGTGTGTACTAGCTGCTCTTTGTGCGGTCCGGGGTTTTCCCCAGTTCGGGTGGAGGTTTTTTAATTTCCGGCTAACTTTTGGGTGAAGTCACTTTATTCTATCTCTAACATCACCGCGGTCATCGCCAGGATGGCTCTATCCCGCCTCACCGAGCATGCATGCGTACTTTGTCACGCCAACGCATAGTGGTAGTTGGTGGATTGAGCGACGCGACAGCTACATCCTTAGATACGACTCATTTAGAATAACGTGGGAGATCACAAGATTTGCTCGAATATTTTGTTGTGGGGGGTGTTCGGTTCTCATTTGCCTGCAACTGTACCTCCTCCATTTTGGATTCGAAACTTATACGAAACTCGGGATCTTTGCCATTGAGAAAATACGTGGCCATAGAATTGAAGACTGGTAGCTCAGGCTGTTCAGATGGCTGTTGAACTGTTCGCTGAGCTTGGCAATTTTGTTGTAAACGTTTCGTCACCAATCGAGGTGACATCATCAGTGCGTATTTAAGTGGTGTGCAATAGCGTAGAGGAGCCTCCGTGAGAGGGTTACAACGGCTACCAGAAGACGATACAGCTTAGAAGGAGAGAATCAATGATTCTGATTCTACGATACTCATAGCCCGCCGACCACTTTCCCTCACTCACATAGAATGAGCTAGCAGACAGTCGAGTATTTTACCTAAATGCGTATGGCGCTCATCGTCGTAAATGCAACTCACGGGATCGATCGTTAACTTGGTACGATGTGACCACTTCTCGTTTCTATGTGCCCATGTTCACCAGACATGAGTACTTGACGGTTATCCCCTTATCTGCTGGTGCGCACCATGGGGCATGGTCGACAGCACATTCTGTTGAAATCTCTAAAAGTTATAAATCGGTGAGGCGCACTGTTAATGTGATGCGGCTGTTAACATCGATTATGTATCCAATATTGTAGCATTTACTTGAAGGGAAATCCCTGTAAATTGCTTCGACCATCATTCCCTTCTTGTCTCCCCTCGTTTGCAGAACTGAAGCGGTTGAAGACTGCTTTCCTTGATCTACAGGAACGTTCTATTTTCATCCCTGGTTGGCGTCATATCAGCCGAATACTGTGCAAGTTGTTCCGTTTATGTCCTGAGCTGGCTATTTAACACGGCGCTACTTATCCATCCTTCACTTTCGCATTTTCGCAGACCACTCTTCATCCGTCTTTCGTCGCATTTCGGTCGGAGAAACTTTTATCGACGCACATATTTATATTGCCTATGTGATACTTTCTCCCACAAACCCCTTCGTTTCTGAACTTCACAGTGTCTACTGGAGCAAATATTTTGCATGTCTTCGACAAATTTGAGTCATTTCTTATGTCCCGTCGCTCGTATACCTTTGGCCTCCGTCGAATAAACTCTGCGTATTATTACGCATTACAGTTATCCAGGTCAATTCGATTACTTCCCTTCGAATATTTTCATCAGTTTTCCTTCGGTATTTGTGTTACATCTGATCTTTAAGCCACTCGAGATTTCTAATATCCCAGTCCTTTCCTCACACAAAATTTCTGTTCTGACGGGGTGGTGGGATTGAAGCTCTGGTCGTCCAGTAGCTGTCATCTCTTCTCGGCTCACTGCTCCAACTCGCTGTATCTATAAGCTCTCGGATAATGACACATCATGCACCCGAGAAGCGCTAGAGGACAGTTCCGTCTTTTTGTTGAGACTTGTTCGCAGCGCGCGCGTACCACGAATCGTTGGGGTTTGCCCCCACAATCATCCTCTTACGAGGTACTGCCTTAGGTCGCTGACTCATGGTTGATAGCTGTAGGCCGTCACTGTAGATCTTATGTTTCGAAACTTCCCCACTACCTCCTAGCAACGAGTAGTCGTATGAGCTGGATTGTAACACCATAAGATGATTGACTGCTTAGTGAGAGAAGTCGTGATGCTGTAAGCCAACTTTGCCCACAATACGATAGAAATTTGTATAGTAGGTAAGGATGAGCTACCTTATATCGCAGCTAGTAACCACTCGGCCGTTTGCCGTCGCTTCATCCATTGCTCAGTGGTCTAAGTCGACCCCTAGTAAGGATCTGGTCGCGCGCTTGAATCTCCACGTATTCTTACAGGGTATGCGCTACCAATGACGCACAATGCGATGTGGCGGCTGCCGGGGATCTCTTGGGTGTACATTATGTCTGGTTGAGTCAACCTTCCACTAACCTCGAGTTGGTACATTTTTGATGCTACTTACGCCACTACGGTGTTCTTGCTCCGATTCATCCATCGTTTGTCCAGCGAACGCAAGACTTCTGAGACGACTTAGTCACTTCACTACTAATACACGATGTCGTCGAACAATACCTGCGATATGTCACTTGTTGAACTCTGTATCACAACAGAGCAATCCTCTGGAAACTGTATCATATCAATACAGCCAACACAAATCGGTTGACATGTATATTGGGTCATAATCTTTCCTCAAGGGAGATGCGAACAAATCGGTTGCCGCGCCTTGGCGCAACGGCCCCGGTCCATGTATCTGATTGTCACATTCAAGTGCTACTGTCTAGAAGGTGTGCAGTGCTTCGGCTCTGTCCTACGGTTCTCAGTCAGGGAGGCTTCTATTAAGCGATGGGTTGCACTATCTCCTTTGAAAGAACGTCCTTCGTCTCACCGGTCTCCAGTTTCTGTCTTGATGTGCAGTGCGGAGACAGGCTGTGAGTCAAGTTCACTTCAATGGGCACAATGGTAACAGACAGCAACGGTACTTCCCACTTTTAAGGTTTGCACTCTTAATGTGACTTACACGCAGCGATCAAATCATGATGTCCACGATCCGTGTTTTCCCTTTCACAAGAGAGTCAAGAGTCTCACATTGGTCATAACGGCCGTTCTCTTATCGGCGTCACAGATTCGCTAGACTAGGCGCCCTACCGAACTTACGTCGCTAGACTAACCCCACAACTGTGACCAGCGATGTTTTACGATGATCAATGCAAGAGTATATATCCAACTTTTGTCTTTTCTGTGATCGATGAGCACCTGAGGAACGGCTTCGGGAGGTCCCATTTTCTTAACCTCAACACGTTTCCGTGCCTTTTGCCCACGAAACGCTCACCTGTTTTTTCTGTCCTTTATTGTCAGATCGCTTAAATGGTAACAGCCACTTTATTCCGCTATCACATTATATAGATATCTTTTCTTGGACTCAGATGTATCTGACTCGCCGCTTAAAAATGCGGCACCAACAACGGAGGCATGCCGGATTATAAGCATGTACAACGCTCCATTATGCAGGTATGGATCACCATGCTAACAAAGAAACACATGACGCGACCCGCCTCATGCTCACTAAAACATTGTTCTTCTCGAAGTGTAGTTTGTGCGACAGGTGCTAGTGCCTAGAGCAATTTAGAGAGGTAATGTGCCAAAGGGAAAGCCGTTAGTTCCAAAACTTTTCCGCAACTGCGCAGCACTCATTTCAAGTTTGGGGTCCGTCATCAGTGCGCTTTACCGGCCCGTTGCCTTAAGGATCACTAGCCTACTTTGTAATCTGCCATCGTGGGTTCGAGCCTGTGTAGGGGCAGGGCGATCCTCGCAGTATCCTTAGTTCACCTGCGACAGGTGGTGGTTGCGCGGCAGTGAAGCGGCGGTACTGCGTACTGGCGTACTGTTGATACCTTTTTTCCGCTTTGTACCTCCGAACTACGGTGGATGTCGGCAGTCGACATGATTAAGCAATCAGTTTTGGTACAGTACGGCCCACTCAGCCACGCACCGCTCGAATGATCGGTGCTCGTTACAACCTCACCCCCACTGAGATGCTCCGCAGTTATAAGGTGAGTGCCTGTGCATTTTACAAACTCTCCTAACAGGCGAGCTTTCACCCTTCTCACAAAGCAACGAGATTAGGGATTGGATGTGTGGTCGACATTAAGATCACCGTAGCACCACGCGTTCCCGCTTGTGCATAATCTATGCTCCCCACTAGTCGTGCCTAAAGTTGAACGTATATTAAGATAGGTGATCGCGTGACCGCTGTCCGACTTGCATCTCCACTACAGCAGGCACCAACGGCATGTGCATGTGAGAGTGGATGCTTGCTTCCACATACCAACGGGGTGTCTATAATATTTCGTTACGATTAACCCATTACCTACCCAGACTCTAGTCATCTTACTTCCAGTAAAGCATTTTTACCCACAACCTATCGTATTGACTGAATCACTATTCACGAAAGAGCTACATCGTTTCCAAGATGTCCGCTTGTCGAGCCAGGCATAGGTTCGAGTGGTTCAGACTTCCATCGGTAACATTTTCTGCACTGGATCCCGTCCGTACTGCACAAAGCCGAGCAAACCCCTGGTCCCACTCAGGCGTAGTGCATCGTCACTCTTAGATCCTGGGTCTCGCTTACTTTAGCGCCCAATAGTGCACCATACTGTAGACTTTGTGCTATCGCAAAATGCCGCCCCCTCCACCATTGTCGGCTACCGCGTGTGTCGTAGAACTCTCGTTGACCAAACATATCCCTTTCGCCGTCTCATATTTCTGCTCATATTGCGTGTTCAGTTCAATTAACTATGTCCGTGTGAACAGCCTGGGTCTACTCGTCGGCGTGGTCTTCAGTATCTTTCTCCTCCAGTTATTGCGGCCCTCATGTTTTGACTAAATTGTACTGTGCTAACGATGAGGTTAGCATATTGAATCCCACAATCAGCTCCGGCTACTCCTTTCTCGGCTGATTTTCGCTGATGTGAGCTATTACCATTAGACGCACACACACACACACAAGGCTCACATGTTCAGGCGAGGTCGTGATTACCAAATTCCCCAACCCAAGACGCGGCGCGAACCCTTGCACAAAAACTGAGGAATACACAGCGTATTCATACGATTTGTCAAGGATATGTACAAGCTGTACAACAGAAAGAGATTGCAAAAATTGTCATAAACGATGGGGCCATTAAAGGGCGCGAGTGTTTGTTTTCTGAAGCAATAACTCACGATCATCGTTATGGGAGGACTTGATGGCGCTTTGAGCTTCAGTGTGGTGTTCCGGCAGTAGGCTGACCCTACACGAAGCTGGCCTGTACCTTGGGGAATGTGACGGTGTAGTGTTCCGAGCAGATTACACGGGAGCCGACTCCTGTCGTAGGCTGTTTGTCAATATCTGCTTTTTGCTTAGCCGTCGTAACAACCGTCGTTGGCTCATCTAAAGGAGAGTAGTAAGCTCCTATCGTCTTCGAGCCATTGATCACTCGGCCGCCGTATTTGTTGGAGTTAGATCTCTGGAGTGATTTGCGACGATGCCGCTCAGTTGATTTGGAAGTATCAGTGGTTGTTTGCTCGAAGACGCTCCCGTTTAACGTACCCCATCCATCCGCCCCCTGGTTCAGCGATGGGTCCGATCGCCATGCGAATAGAGAGGACTGAGTCTCCGCGTTACGGGCATCTTTCTGATAATAATTTAATTTGGGTCCCGATGTGTTTGACGCACGGCCACCTCGCAACGTTCCCAGTTGATTCGATTCAATATGCTATGGGGTGGTAAAACCAGAGGATAAAAGTAGTATAATCCGTCTCGTTAGTAGCTGCATATCAAAATGGACAAGGTTTCCAATGTTCCACAGACGAATAGCTCTTGCGAAATCACATTATATAAAACTAGGCAACAAACCGAGCGGAATGCGCTAAGGATAAATGCGAGTTGTGCCACTCACACGCCGACGATAAACCGCAACTCATCTACCATGTACGTGCTAACATTTTATGCAACTACGACATATATAATTGGAGGGTCAAATTTGGACTACACGTTGTGTGATTGGACTGCGACGCGCAATCTCAATGTAATGGAGGACTGTGGTTCACATTGAAGTGAACCTTAGTCACGGCGATCACTGGGACCGTATTCAAAGTAGATGGAAATTGGGTGTTGCCCACCCGAAAACACTGCACAACCACGACGCGTTTCGATGTAATTTCATCTCATCAGGTGGAGACAGCAGGCCTCGATCCCGCGACCATTGGAATAGTAGCCCACACCACTACCCCTTCGGCTACCGAGTCACGGTGGGCAACGCTTTTTGGCACAACGGTAATGACTAATTGGAGGGTCAAGTTTGGACTACACGTTGTGTGATTGGATTGCGACGCGCTACCGTGACCCGGTAGCCAAAGGGGTAGTGGTGTGGGCTACTATTCCAATGGTCGCGGGATTGAGGCCTGCTGTCTCCAACTGATGAGATGAAATTACATCGAAACGCGTCGAGGTTGTGCAGTGTTTTCGGGTGGGCAACACCCAATTTCCATCTACGACATATATACTTTATATTTTTATACTACGAATGGAGAGCGTCTATACACCGAGCATCGACAGTACCAGTTAGGCTAACGAGGAGCTCGTAGCGGCTGGCAGCGTCTGTCCTCGAAAGTACCCATCACCGTGGTCATGAACAACCACAGAACATATGTGTCTATAGAGGGGCCATGCATACTGTTTGCGTGGTACCAATGGCGTGTTGCGCATCCAGCGCAAACCCAGAGGGGTTAAGACTGCGGTGCACGCAGAGATGGGAGTCACACTCCATCAGCACGCAACCCCCATTTGTAAATGGGTCCACGTGGCAACACTTCAAAATCAGGACGACGCTTTTGCGCTGTAAGCGCGAAGTATGCTCTTCTGGAATCCGTCTGGTTTGCAAGTAGCTGACCCACACGGGGTCAGTACTTGTCACTCACTCGCGTACATAACAGCCGGCACCGGCTGATATGTGGTTCACTCGCACATCTGCCGTAGCAGCGATCGGCAGCCTTCCGGGTCCAGCGTCGGCCGGTGGTCGAGGGGAATGAGGCGTCCGCCTTGTAACTCGAAGATCTCTGGTTCGAATCTGCGGATGACCTTGCAGTATCCCCTGCCACATGCCCGCAACTGGTGGTAGCAGCGAAGCCTCGGTGCGGCGTTCTTTCTCCTGGATTCATCACTTAAAGTTGTAATACCGGACGTGGGGGCATCTTGTCAGCGTTCGGACCGTGCACAGCTATACCGTACAAATTGCACGAGGATGAACATCAATATACATCCCATCACTCTGTAATAGCTAATCTACAGTAGCGAGGAGCGGCCTGTTATAAGTCAACTCCAACGCCCACAGAACAATGATCACATGACGGCACTCTTGGCACAATGATAGCGTTGCTACCTAACGGTTCTGAACACCCGGTAAATGGAAACCAACGCACGATATACATCTTGCAGGGCAGCTAATGTAAGGCGCTTTTGAGTACTGTCGAATTGAAAAGCAACGTACACTAATTCTGACATGGCTGCCCATAGGTGGCGTCTACCAGAAACACACCTTAAAGAAATGGTAAACTGGACGTGCTGGGAATATGCACATATGTTAAGATTCCAAATAAAATAACAAACAGTTGCACAACGCGATGAGGATATTTGTACCCCACATACGTACGGCGGCCCGCTCCCCTGTGAACAATGAACAGTCCCTGGTTCAGATCATTCTCCGACTTGCCATGCACCCAAGCATTCATATAAGGCGTCTCTTCCAAGCCACTGAAATTGGCCAATTTGAGGCGGTATCAGCGCGCAATTGGGTAACCTAAGAGCATATGGAGACCAGCCAGTCTGTAACATTTCGTGAACGGCTAATCACCATGCTCCAATTAATGTGCTCGGCTAGGAGTGCCGGCTGTTTAAGATTTCGTGTTAGGCTCGGGGTTGCGTGGGCCCAAGTGTAGAAGGTGAAAAGGAGCCAACGGTTCCAAAAGTGATGGTCACTGACTTCACTTTCCGCTACTTCGCTCGAGTAATGCTCCGTAGGCGACGACGATCGGTGACATACAAGCACCTGACCTCAAACCAAGGAGGTTAAGCTTTACTAAAATAGGGGAGGACGGCACTGATCTTGTGTGTATTACCGTTATGATCAAGCGAACTCCATTTATAGCGGCAAAGTTCTTGTAGACTGATGCTGATGTTTTGTGCTCATGATTTATCCGAACTGGTTCCAGCAGCCACATACAAGCCACCAGCAATGTAGCTGCTGAGCAGGGTAAATTGATCGGTTGTCACCCGTTATACAATGGGACGCTAGGAGCAGTGCTTCACAATATTGGACTTCGAAGGTAAAAAAAAATAGAATTCTTCGCATCACGCCAACTATCCATAATGATAGACCTCCATCACGCAGCTACAAGCGGTCACAAGCAAGCCGGAATTCTACTGAGTTGCCAGAACCGGTGCAGTAGCGTGGATTTGGATTCGAGGTCCAGAGTTCACAAGCCAGACGCCTGAGTCACCACACCACGGACTTCAGTACTGATCGCGCATAACAGCCTACGGCTCATATGACCTTTTAGACTAGCTAGCAACCATCGTTATCACCGACATGAATAGTCTGCTCAAAAATAAACTTGTGTCCCTCTAATATGGCTTGTGCTCACGATCCCCCGGATTCATACTCCATAGATTTGTGATGTGTAAAGCATGAGCGCTTCTCGGAAAAATTACGTCTCTAGGGCCCGTCCCTCTGGATTTGTAAAGGATTCGGGAGAGTGGATGATGTCCCAAATGGAGACTTGGGCTTCTTTGCTGAAATGCAGGAATCTTTCTATCATAGCGAGCTACTCTGGAAAGTGTTGTCACCTAGAAGCTTCTCCAAGGCGGTTTGTACAACACACCTTTGCATCTTGTGGCCGCTCCGGTATATAACATCCCTCTCATTGTATATACAGTGGTGGGATGTCCGTACTAGCTGACAAATTTCGAACAAATTGTACCATCCGTCTCACCTGATATAGATGGAAGTCGTCTGGAATAGGTCGAAAGTCGAGTTCGGGACATGGTGCGAACGACGAGTCCGGTCCGAATGGTTCTTGTTGGATGGCGGGGTTGAGTGCATTTCGGCCCAGGTTGTACATATTGAATGGCACGCTGGCTGAAAATCACAAGTAGAAAAGCCTGAGGTCAGTGCCAAACATAAATGTCTACCACTTCGAACACACTGGTTGTCAACTCATCAACTTGATTCGTTCGTTACAACACAGTAGTTATGGTCATTGATGAGCAGCAACGCAACGGAAATTCGCAAGGGACTACACCGTCCTGCCAATTGAAAGTTACGAATTATGAGCCGGATAAATGAACACAAAACTTACCTCCTGCATAGAATCCATCAGCTACCTGACAATTTTGATCCATCCGGTAGTTCCCCAAGTGATGCTTATGATGGAGCTGTAAAGGAAAACGTGAGATAATTTCACATCAGTCGACTCCTCATTCGTCCAAACTCAGGCTACTTTAAAATGTTTCGAAATACTGGTAGCTCGGGTTGATGAATCAATTGTTCATTTGTCCTCCGAGCTTGGCGGTTTTCTCGCAAACGTTTCACCACCACCTCGGATGGTGGTGAAACGTTTGCGAGAAAACCGCCAAGCTCGGAGGACAAATGAACAATTGATTCAGGCTACTTAACAGTAGTCAGTGTAGAACCACGAATAACTGAGACCAATTGGTCCAGAGAAAAGGTTAGGGGGTAGCACGCCGCTCATTCGTACCCATTACCTAACTTTTTAACGGGATCCGTTCCGAAGCAATGTAGTATTGTGATGCGATTAATTTCAGTTTTAATTTGTAGGCTCACAATTGTTTTCTAATATGGCCACTTGGATCAGTCGCAGCAAAATGTATCGGCGCACTTTCTCTGAAGTGATTCCATCGGACTCAGTTTAATCATCTGAAGCCAACCTCGCGGACGTCTTTCAATCGAGTCATAAGATGGCCTTGCATGTTTGCATCACTTGTTGGCCCAAGGAAATCACCCACAGTAACGCGATAGGCAGTCCAAAAAACAGGCAAATCAATTCCACATGGACAATAAAAAGACAGTAAGGTACGACTCCCGAACGAAGAGGGCCAATGATCATTCAATATGTTCACGATGGAAGGTATGATGCTACAAAGCGGAGCTCTAGCCAATACTCAGCTGAGTCTGTGCATAGTATGTAGAATATCAAAGCCGTAATGTGTCCGTTTCACATCCGCTCTCCCTACATGCTCTTTGCTGTTGCAGTAACTTTTTCTACAAAAGCACAATCGTGGGGATTCAATTCCCTTATGTGGCGAATTGATGATTTCGGTAGACGAATCAGAACAGCTGTGATCTAGAACAAAGTAAGCTGTTGTTCACGTAACCAAAAAAGGAATTCCATTGTGTTACTCTGGCACTGACTACTTAACGTATGAATCGTATGAATGTCCATCTCATGAACCAGGCATCAGTCGTACAAGACAGCTGGATGGTTTACACCATGGAAGACGAGACTTTGGGTCAAGGTTCTTTTCATCTTACCGTCAACTCCAGTTGAGATGACTCGAGCTGTGGTATACGTTTTTTTCTGCTCGAGTTACCGACATTGGTAGCTGCTTACTCTATATCTAACTACCCTTAATCGGCTAAGGAGCCCCTCTATCATCAGTTGCAAATACGTAGCTACCGGGCTGAGGGAATTGAATAGGTTCTTATTTGTCTAGATTGTACTTAATTGTGAAATGGTATATGAAAGATATGGACCATGATGCTACGCCGCACCGCCCACCTCGTATCATGAAGACGTGTTTTCTGGACTGGCGTCGACAGTGAAATTGAAGTTGACAGCCGGATGAGTACGTCCAGAGCATACGTCAGAAAGGATGCGGAGTGCATACTATGATAACTGTATGCCTCTACTTAGCCCCTAATGCGTGCATCGAATGGGCGAACTGGTGCAGCGAGATCAGTTCACATTCTGGTTACCTTCCGATAGTTTTGGATGTCAATCGCACAATCAGAAAATCCCTGTGAGTCAACCGCATACCGGACAATCGTGGACCAACAGGATGCACATGGACTAATTAGGCACACGAGGGCACTGCAGAACTCTCTAAACGCAAAGCAGTCTGGTCCCATTGATGTAATCTTACTTTATTCAATTTACTGATCAGCTGTAGGCGCAACTAACTGTGTTAACGCAAAATGCGTCAAAGAGATGAACGGACGATGGCTCGATTGTGCAGTGCTCCGCAGCAGCCATACCAAGCTACGAAATTATTGCTTCCCGATAGGTGACAAAACTATTGCTCATGTGTAAGAAGCGGATATGTGATGTAAGCCCCATTCAGTATCCATTTAGGCTGTGGCACATGTTGGAGTGTCGATGACGAGATGAGAAATTGCAGTTTCGTCGATTCACGCACGGAGCGGATCGAACATTGTTCCCGGGGAGAAATTGTTTGCTACCGTGGTGGCGTGACATTTTGTGCCGCCAAGCATCAGCGCTGTTTAAGTCACATTGCGGTTGCGTATATCACACAGCGCGACATCCTTGTTGCGTTGGGTAGCGGTCGAAAAGCATTTCGCACCAGCTGCGCACAATGCATCAACCCATGTGAGTCGATTACATATGATGGTGAACACTTCACCCGCGGGTACGGATGAACAAATTAGTCCTAGACCATTTAAATCCGTCCCTCAACGACACGTCCGTAGCACTGTAGGAAAAATACTTCAAAAGATGCAGTTTGTATAAACAACAACCACCAGTACCGAAATCGGACAATTTTGTGCGGCTTCCCACCCATCAAAAGTAGTATGGTGCATTTTTTCTTACTTGTCGCTTGTAAGTGCTTTAAAAAATGCACCAACTTCCATTGGTAGCTTTCGGCGAAAGCAAGGTCGCATGTGTGATTACGGGAACTTCAGACCGAGTAAAATAACAGGCGGCTTCTGTAGTAGTGGTAGCAGTCTCTCGAAAATAACTCACAGTGAACCCTGTGTTACACCGCCACCGATTTCACTCGCACACTCCACAATGATTGTGTGGTGTGCGAATGCCAGCGCCTAGAACGTGAACGGAACAGAGAGCCCATGCGAGCAGCAGTCACCTCATCTTCGATCGATTCCTGGTTACCCAAGATTGCTCGTACGCCACATACAAATGTCTTCACGAACCAGTTGGTCCATGCACTAATTGGCAACTTATAGAAATGTGCTCCCACTCATGAAACTACAGTCACGAGAATGGACTGCGTACAATCAAGGTTATAAAAGGACTTGGTTACCGCGCCTAGCTCTAATCCTCTATGTGCCGCTAAGCATTGCTCTCTGGCCACTTGCTGCCTTCAGTGACAGCTGACCCAAGGACGACACTGAAATATGTTCAGAGATGGGTGCTCGCACACTTATTCGAAACTCGGTTTGTTCACTCGAACCTAATGAGCTCAAAGAGAAACTCAGATATCGTCCAGGGAAGACACCAAAATGTCCCAACAAATGAATCACAGTCGCCGAAAATGTTATGCTCCAGCTCAGTACGGATACGTATCGTACATAATACTTGGTGGTGCTAACGTCCACAACAGCTGCTTTTATTTCCACCACCGTATTACTCCAGGGGGTGGAACAATATCGTGGTGCTCAACAGATTGTTGCCTGAGAATGTGTCGGTATTAGGTACTTAGTTTCGTGGGCAAAGATCCGTTCATCAGAGCTTTCTATGGACTATCATCATAGCGTCTACCGATCAGAGCAGGATTTGACAGCCCAGTCAACCATCAGTCAATGTGGAAATGTTATCCCTACCACAGCAGAAAGTTGACCCTGACACTGAACCCATATGAGTAATTAAGCGTGAATGAGAAAATCGAGGCAAAGCTTACCAGAGTTTCTGCCTGATCTGCCACATCTGGAACGTTGATAGCCATTGAGGTATTCGGACGATAGATTGGCATGTTGGTGGCGAAGAAACCTGCAGACCCAAGCAAATTGGGACGATTTTCATCCAGCAAAATTCGTTCTCGCGTGGAATATGCTGCACCGAGCGGGGTGTTCGCACTATGTGGACCAATAAATTGCGTAGATTGTTGATGTGAATTTAAAGCTAGTGGACTTCGTGGCGAGGGAGCGCAAGACATGCCGATGGAGTCCAGTCGCATGGGTTGATGGCTTCCATTGATGCAATCAAGCAGGCTATCAGTGACACCCGGATACCCCGATTGGGAGTGATTGATGGTATTGAGCCTACGTTTTTCTGGATCAAGGTTATTTTTCAGACATGTTTGGGATTTTTGTCGAAATGACTGCTCCATGGAGCTGTTCGAACTCCTATCGCCCAGGCAAATGACGCATAAATTTGGCAAAAATCCAAAAAGGTTACGCTTATACCTCAAATAGAAGCACAGTCCGAACATAACAACCAGCAGTATCAAGATCATTGCGACGATGACAATTAATAGAATATCCGCATGTATTGTTCGTTTAATGTTGTTTGGGTCGTGGTCCCGTTGATAAGCATGCAACAGTGACTGACGATCGTACTGCTCAGATCCGAGTGGACCATTTTGTGGTGGTCGAGGCTGGTAATAGCCACCACTAGGAGCGCGGACATCCCCAAGATGATGCGGTTCCGACTGATCGACCAGCAGGCGGAGCATCAAATGTGTCCGCAATGGGGGTGTCCCATGATCACTGACCACTACTTGTAACCTGTGCTCTCCCAAATCCTCTTTGGTTAGCCGGCGTCGTGTTCGGATCAAGCCTTTCGTCCTATCGATCGTAAACAAATCAGTGCCCTTCAAATCCGGTATTAATTCGAAATAAAACTTTCCGTTGAGATCACCAGCGTCTCGGTCGTTTGCGTTTATACTGATCACCTCGTAACCCGCGTACTCCATATATGAGACACGATGTAGAGTGGAGTTGGACGTGGTGGGATTGGGAAATATGATTTCCGGCTGATTGTCATTGACATCGAGTACAGTAACCAGCACAGAGGCCGTGCTCGTATGGCCTCGAGAACTCAGCATGCCGTTGGACGACTGGGTGGAGCCTCCACGTAGGTGAGTGGATTCCGTATCTGAAGCGATGAGAACGAACTGGAAAGCCTCCTCGGATTCACGGTCCAATGCTCGCGTGGTGTTGAGAAAGAATCGCCCTTCAGATGTTTGGTATAGGACAAACGGCAAGTCTCGTCGAATGTGTCCATGATCAATACGCAAATTCAAACGATGACGGCCTGTCAGTTGTGTGGTGCCTCCATGATGGCCGGCTTGTGCGTAGAGAGAGGGTCCACCGTGGATAAACGGCCCGACGGGGTGGAGGTCCGCATCGACAACACGTATTTCGCCCACGACTGCTGGCGCAGGCTCATTTTCTTGTATCGTAAAATGCATCTTTGGCTCCATGAATGTAGGCGGATTATCGTTTTCGTCCAAGACGACCACAACTAACAACACGTATGCGGATCGCTGTATCGTTGCACCGTGGTCGGTTGCCTTGACTACAGCAAAAAATTGATCAAAAATGGAGTAGCCGCCTTCTTCGCGGTCTAATTTCCGTTTAGTAGACAAATCACCCTTGACTTCATCGATATGGATGTATTCAAACGTCTCCGGACTGCTGGAAAGCTCGATTCTTTCACGTTTCGACAGGCCTGCTGTACCCTGGGTAGCCGAGACATTCAACAACGCTGGACTTTTCGGTAATTCAAACGTTACATATCCGTTGGCTCCGGAGTCGTTGTCCACGGCACGAACACGAGCGAACACGGTCCCGATCGGTTGGTTCTCTAACAGATGCACCGTATAGACAGGCACACCTCCCAGATAAGCAGCGACCAGAGGGATTGCATCCGGTTGCCGTCCCGTGGCTTCAACAAGTTTGTGCAACGTCCATGCCTCAGTGGGGGACATGCGGCCTCCGGAGCCAGGGGGAATGGACAACACTCGAATTTCAGGGTCGCAGTCATTTTCATCCAGAATGATAACCTGTTAGCACGGAAAGCATGCAGAGGAATTGCAATTAGAGTTTCACTAAGCCAGCTAACATCACAGAATCGAACGAACGAACGATCTGCTGACAGTAGTTCAAAAGGCGCACATGTTGGACAATTTACGGGCTACTCACAGTAACTGTAACTCCAGACTCTGTAAACCTACACTGATGCGCAGTAAGCCAAAATCTTTCACATGGTATGATGCTCATAGACTGCAACAGCACAAAACGGAGATTGTTGACCTAGAACCAAACTGAATGACAGTGAACAATGGAACAATGGTTTTATACAGGTAAAAAAGCTAAAGCTTAACAGATCCCGTAGGGTGATCATGGTGAATATTCAACATATAGAAAAATTATCAACAAAAGTGGGTTCATACCGGTGGTCTCACTGCGGTATACGTATTATAAACTGTGTAGCCATTGTAAGTCCAGGAGGAATGATGACAAATGGGATGATGATAAAAATCATGTCGCCTCTTGGTGAAAACATACAGGGGGTGAAAAAGCTGGAACGTATTCTGGGAGCTGACCGTCAGTGAAATCTCGAACTGGTGCTGCTGTATGGCCATGGGCAATGCATTATGTGAGATAGTGCAGCGAAATGAGTGCACGGTCAACTCGGGCTTTGAACTCTACCGGCGTGGGAGCACAGATTCCGGTAGGGAAATCCACGCTTGGCAAACGTGTACGGAAAAGAAATTCCAACGTCAATCCAAATGACTGTACTGACAGCTTGAGATGCTGGCCTCTCAGGTTACTGTTGTGTCTGAGCTCTAGCAAATGGCGGCACGTGCGGTTGAGATCTCTCAAAATCTGGTTAGTCGAAAAAACGTCCACTCACAATCACCGGTGACCAGTGGTGTTATACCTTAACCCCCTACTACTCTTACATCGGTGATGTGTGCGGAAAATCTTCAGTCCTCTGAGTGAGTATGGTTTTTGATACCAATGGTAAGTGTTAATTGTGTTTTTGTGATCTAGTATGATGTTCAGTGTGTATAAAAGCATAAAAATTCATTCGTTAGTTGGATGATTCGCACTTGATCAACAGTGCCTTCATCAATCTTGTTGGGAGTCGCTAGTAAATATGGCTTGTGACTTGTTCGAATTATGCCACCTGACCGCCCGATCAAGGTGTTCGTTGAACACCCCAAAAATAGTCGTTTTATCCGTGATGATGACCATAACACCTAGTTGTGTCGAGCAAAGATGCGCTGGTGACAAGGCAGTGGGGGATCAAACAGCATCCCAGCATCTTTTCGAGCATTTCGAAAAAGTTGTGTTGGACCCGGTTCTAAGGAATTCCGCTTATGCTAGTCATCGTCGATATAAGCACACTCAGGAGCTATCAATCGCATTCTTCCGACCGGCTTGACAAGCAAAACGTTCACTCAGAAAATGCCGTGATGTACCCTGCACAAACGCCGAAAACCAGACTCCAGTTATCAACTTCCTTGGGAACGAGACTGGACCTTAACTTGATGCGACGGTTTGCGTACCTCCTTGAACCATTGAGCTATACTGGGTGGTGCCACCGGGCCCCTTGTGAGCTAATCCTAACACCTTGGTCAATGGTTAGACGTCAGGCTCCTGGTCCTCCACGTTGGGGGTTGGAAATGGGATGGCTTCAATTTCCGTAAAATCTACCTTGCGGACAGGTTTTAGAGCGAAAGCCTTTGGTTTATAACCCTAATCGTCTTCTTGCTTAGGTCTAGGCGCTCTGGCAGTATCTCGAACCACATACAACCATGACTACTTCCTCAATCTCCAACCACGTACTGCATCGTCCGTAACGCAGATTATCAACCGTCGCCTTATCTGTTGCATACAGCAGGGCGGATAAGTGAAAACATGCTACTGCGGTCGCCTCCCTTTTCTCTTCTCTATTTGTTTCTCTTACGCCCCTCCCAAACCCCACTACTAACCACCCTTCCATAGTTCCCAGCTTAACTGATAGCAGACGTACTGCAACCGGATTCGAACCATCTGCAGCTATCTTCCCGCACCATTGGACGCCTATCTGCAACAGTCCCTTATAAGACCATGCTGTCCAGTTTCACTGGCGGCGTCCACATTTCGCGCTCTAAGACAAATATGTCAAAACCCTGTACTCGCACTCACCTTGGACGCACTGAGTATTGACGTGTATTATGTATCCAAAACTACGATTAATGACCCCCAAGGGGTTGTTGGATTAACTGCTCCCGGATGTCCTCTCGCTATTAGTTGCGCGCATCGGGAGAGTCTCATGCGGTAACCACTGGTCAAGCTGGGGTGGGCATCATTCACAGTTCCAAGGTGGAGTCAACGCTGATCGATTGGATTCCCGTTAACAGCCGTTTGACGACATCAACTAGGGTTGATTCACGAAGTAGCACTAGACGTTGTTTATTTGTGGTTTCCGCTTATACCCCCATTGACTACAGTTCTGATGTTGCCAAGGGCGCCTTCTACCACGAGCTGAACATGCTACTACGCAGTGTCACCAGTGCGGATATCATAGTACTTGCAAGGGATATGAATGCACAAGTAAGTCGTCTGAGCTCTTCAGTAGCTCAACTAAGTGGTAAATATGAGCTTAGCTCCGACCGTACGGACAACGGCGAGCGTCTGTTACAGCTGTGTGCCGAGCATCGGATGTTTCTCACTAGCACCATTTTTAGACACTGTAGGCGCCGAAGTGCCATCTGGTGTCCACCTATTGCTAATAATAAATAATAATGTGTCAGCTGTACGCCGTAACGGCGCTTCGCCGCCGTGCGACTATCACCAGTCGCACGCGGGCTGAGTATACCGCGAGGACGCCCATTCCTACGCGGATTCAAACCCACGAGACAAGCTCGTTACCTCTAGACTACGGGACGACTCCTCTAGGCTACGGATCGACTCCACCTATAGCTAACGAGCGATGGACCCAAATAGATCATATTACTATAAGTTACAGGTGTAGTGGTTCCATCCTGAATTGTCCCCCTTTCTGGAGTACATGCGTCGACTCTGATCATGCCTTGGTACGCTGTCGTTTTTCCATGAACTTTACCAGTAGGCGTACCAAGCGCCCCTGGACTGGCGGTTGAGAAGTCATCACTTCCCTCAGTGAGGCTAGCCTACCAGGATGCCCTAAGTACCGAACTTTTGCTTTCGCCAAAATGACACTGGGCTGCCACGCACGGTGCTGGAGCCTCTGCTTGACGCGCTGTCAATCGCCACCGCAGCAGTCACTGGATATTCGAAAGGTCGGTGAACCTATTGGAATCCAGTAGAAAAGTCCCAGCTGGCTCTGAGCACAATGTGATCAGACGGACTATTAGGCGCAAACTAAAGCAGAGCCTGCGTGCTGACAAGGAAACTTGGTGGACTAGTAGGGCTCAAGAAATGGAGGAGGCGGGAGCAGTACGTGTTTATTGACGGTTCTCCCAACGAATTTTCTCCACAATTCGGGTGGCCTGATTCACAATAAGGAGCGCCGTATGGCTCGTTGGGCGGAGTACTTTCGTGATCAGTTCAGTTGGCCCACTGCCCTTGGACCCCTTCCTTCTTAGGTTATGCAGGACGAGCCATGGACGGTTAGTTTAGAGGCTGCGATCCGAAACGCGATCGCTGCTGCTAGCCCAGGTTCCCTCTCACCCTCACTATTTCAGGATGGCGGTGAAGTCCTCTGCAATGCCCTGACATCCCTGTTTGAACATGTTTGGAAGGAATAGACCATTCCAGCAAAATGGAGTGAATCTATTTTAGAGGCAATATGCAAGAAGAGCAGTTGCACCTACTGTGCTAAGCACAGAGGTACTAGACTAACGTCAAGGGCGACAAAATTACTAGCCTCAATTCTTGTTCGTCGCCTCACTGTGGAATGGTAATCCCAGACTAGGGAAGAGCAGGCAGATTTCCGCTCAGGACGGGGTTGTATAGACCATATATTCACTCTGCGGCAGGGGCTAGAGCAGCGCCATGCATACCGCAGACCGACAATAGCTGTGTGCCTCGATTTCACTAGTACGTTTGTCTCAGTCGATCGGTATATTCTATTCGAGATACTCGTGCTTAAGTATGTTCCCATGAAATATGTGAGCACTTTCCTTTCCCTATACTCGAACACGACAGGCCGTGTCAGGGTCTACGGTTATTTATCGGATATGCCTCCGACAACAAGTGGCTTTCGTCAGGGTTGCCCAGTTTTCACATTTTTGTTCAAGTTCGTCGTGGACTCCACATGGAGTGTTTCTTTGCGGAATCTCACGAAACAGGCGTTGAGGTGCTGCCTAGTGAAAAGCTCGTTGATCTTGATTATGCGAACGGTATTGTCTTGCTGTTTCAAGAGGTTACGGCGGCCCAATGAACCCTAAATAACCTCACTAGATTGGTTCCATCATTTGGCATTCGCTTCACACCTTCAAAATGCAGTGTTGTTGCAGGACCATAAGCCACTTGATGATCCCTTGATAGTGAGAAACTTGAAGTATTTGATCAATTCACTTATCTTGGTAGGCGTATCAACAATGATATGCGCATAGAAATTGAAGTCAGTTCACGCATTGCAAAAGCCAGAACTGCTTTCTTGAATCTGCGGTATCTATCATCAGAAGAAGCTTTCCCCTTTCTGAAAGGCCGTGTATACAAGGCCACAGTGGGGGCCGTCCTACTCTATGGGAGTGAGACCCGGCCCCTTCGGTTTGAAGATCTGAGGCGCCTTCAAGTCTTTGATCATCGCTGTCTGCGGAGCATTGCTGATGCCGGGTAGCACCAGCGCGTTCGCAACGATGATGTGCGTAGGCGAGTGCTAGGCAGTGATACCCAGCTAGTGCCTTAAAACAACATATAGCACTGTGTATAAGTTGCGTTGGCTTGGGCACGTGTTACGTATGCCCGGTCACCGCTTACCGAGGAGTGCTTGTCTGCCAAATGTAGGGTGGCGCAAGGCTCGAGGTGGACTAAAATTGACTTGGCAGCGGGAAATGAAGTCAATGACGAACAAACTTGGGGACGT